AAAAACTTTTTTGTGTAAAGAAAAAACAGAATTCGAAATTTAGACCATATTTGGTCTAAAAATCGTTTAAGGGATAAATAAGCAAATAAATATAATATTTATAGATTCTCGGCAGGTAATTAATAATTAATACTTGTAATTAGAATAAATTTTTTTTGAAGACGAATTTTGTTTTTCTGCTCGAGTTGAGACGCCGAAATATATATGGGGAGGGGCAAGGTTCACTAATGAATTACCATCATAGATAGAAACATCTAATGAGGTCAGATCTTGATTTGAGCTTTTTCTGGCTAAAATCAGGTTGTCGTGAGGGGGGATAATTTATTTGTATTTTGTTTAAAAACCTTTGCGTAGATAAAGCTATTACAAAAAACCCAAAAGCCACCTACCTCTACATGTATATTTCGGGTCCTCTCTAGTTCATGGAATTTCTCTAAAGTCATTTTGATTTATTTCATAATTAGCATAATGTTCATTAACCTGAACTTTGGCTAGATAGATTCCTGAACATTTGAATCAAGTTCAGATCATAGATGACCATCCAGACAATAATAATCACTTGCTCGGCTGTGTAATTATATGAGATGTTAATCATCTTTAAAAAAATACATTGTTCGTTATCTTGATCAAAATTGAGTTCTTTGCATATTATTTATCTGCAATATAAAAAAATTAGTTTAAATTGACATATTTTGACAATGACAATGACAATTTAGATAATGGTACAAGGATTAAATATATAGTAATATGGCGAAATCTGTAGATAATTTCCAAATTTAGTCAATATTTGTTTATTTAGAGAACAATTTCTATGGTTACAAGGCTTTTATCTGTAGGGTTGTTACTAAAAATAGTTTTGTTTTTACTAACCGTAGCAAGATGTCCCAACAATCATTTGTTTGTGGAGATCTAACCCAAATATATTTAGCGGAAAATCTAAAAAGTCTTTGTTAGAAAAAAAAAACCCAAAACATGCATGAACTGTAACCAAATAAATTCTATTCTTTGTATATACATACGCTCCCGTAAATTTACTTTTTTTTTAAAAAAATTTTTTTTCATTATTTCAATACTAAGTATTAATTTGACTCCATAACGATTATGTGATTACACCAGCCAAAGTCAAACCAATTTATCATAAATTTATTTCGCATAATTGAGATTTTTGAGAAATTTGATTGGCTGAATTTGTGCAGATCTTTTATTATATGGGAGATCAACGAACCCTAAACTTGTAGTTGCCATTATGCAAAGGAATTCATTTTAGCTTAGCAACTTACCTACAATTATTGAATAAAACTCTGCTTTATAGATGCAAAAGCAATATGTGAAGTTGAGATGCAAATCATTTTTCTGATTTTCCCTGAACAAAAAATTTGACCGTTATTTAAAGCAATCAATAGAAGTTTCCGAGTACAATTTATTCTTTCCATAACGGCCTTTTCTATAATGGGTTTCACTCTATAACGGACTGAGAATTTGGGCCAAATTAAAATTATCTCATATGTCTCATATACTGTCTATAATGATGATGGTCTTTTTCTATAACAAAAAATTATTTTTTTACTGACGTTACGGAGGGTGGTTACTCCAAGTGGTATACCTGGGCATGAAAAGTTTGGTGAATTGTAATTCCACTATTGAATTTTTTACCATTATAAATAATAATAATATGCATAAAGTCATAATAATTACACTGTGATTTTTATTATCATTAGTCATGAACGAGTTGAACTTTTCATTAAATGGTGGAGTAGTTATTACGTGCAGGGACGGAAAAATTAGAAAAAATCCACCTTTTAATTGGGCCTTGATCACTTTATCAATTTGCTAACGTAAACAACATTGCATACTGTCATACAATAATTATATTAAACTTGAAATTTAGGGGTTACATATTAAATAAATAAATCGTTGATTCTTTAGAACTAATGATAAATAACCAATGCATTTTTTTTCTTTATCTATATAATTATATAATTGCAAAAAAGTTAATATTAAAAAAAATTAATGTATACGTTTCATAATTTCCACTGGTATTACATAACTTCCAGGATGTTCATATTTCCGTAGTAGTAGTAGACATTTTACAACATGCCATAGTTTTCGCAAACCCCCACAGACATATCATATTCTAAGATTTAATATGCAATAATCGAGAATTCGCAATGCAAAGATTAATACAATAAAATAGATAAGATAATATTTGTTGTTCATTTCACTATTAATCACATACAAGTTATTAAGTAATAAACAAATCATTAACTAACAAATAAAGGGGGGGTTTTTTTTTAGTAAATGGTCCGTGTGCTCGTTTCCAATTGTTCACACAGTATAAGTGACTAATATCGTATCGGATAACACCCCTTTGATTTGTTGTAACCTAGTGGATATTATTTACCCGAGTTCTCTTTACCCTGTTACCAATTAGATTCAGAACTTTAATTTTTTATTTCTTTTATTTAATAAATCCGTGTCTAAAAATAAATAAATTCAATAATTGATTGATTGATATTGATTAGCCAATTGGTCAATTGATTAGTTATGGTCTAGAATACTCGACAAAGTGGATGTATTTATTGCACAATCAAACTTTAAATTGACGTCGTGCAATTAAACCAAATTAGTAACAGTCAATATATTAATATTTTTAAAAAAACAATGATTTATATTTAAACGTTAATCAGGAGAGCACAAGAACAGATTTGGTTTTTATTAAATTATATAATCTTATATAATCTATTGAACGTGGGAGAATAATAAATTAATTAAATTGCTCTTGAATAATTTTCACTGGCACGAAGTTCTCAATGGACAAGCGAGCGTTGAGATTAGGAAAGAGATATCTTTATTCGTCTCGAAAAAACGTCAATTTTACTTTTTAGATTTTTTGATTTTGAATTTTGAATTTTGATTATATAAAAGAACGAATTGATGTTTTTAGATTAAAAAAAACCTGAAATTGCTTAATTAAATTTTGAACGACTTTTTGAATTTAATTAATGTACAAAACAGATAATTTATATAAATAAAACATCAAAAAACGATTTACACTGTTTTGTTATGCAAATTTGATCACTGGTTTTATTTGTTTATTTTCTGTTACATTTTTTTCCATTCTACATTTTCGTTCTATTTTTTTTTGTTATACTTGATTCTAGACTTTCTGATTGATTATGAAATCTCAACTTGTTGTAATCCAGTTTATAACCGCATTTACTAGGTTTCCATTGGAGATATTTGTTATGGTACATACAAGTATATAAGTGTGTGTGTGTGTGTGTATGTATTATATTTGTTGGAATACACTGAATGTCATGAATGTAATTGAATTCTAACAAAGAATTAATTTTTTTGGATGAGGATTGAGAACCTATGAAATTTATTTCTCCTGAAAAAAAAACAAATAAACAAAGAAATTCAGGTTCTTTCCAAACAATTCGTTTGTTAGTCTATTCTTTCACGCATTCACCCGCATTTTAAGGCTTATTTATTTTACAAATTCGTCAATATCCCCATTCACATTCCTACATAGTAAAAATGATTGATTTCTGTTAACATAATAATACATGACCGTTTTAGTTCACAAGCTATGCTATACTTTTACATAATTATACATATTTAACTTTATAACTTAACATAAATTATATCATGTCGTGAAAATGAATTATTTATTATTTTTATTCTGTGGTAAAACATTTTTACTATTAACATTAATGTTAATCGATTTTTGACGGTGTTTCAGCTTTCTCCGCCATTTTACAGTCCGAAGAAGAAAATTTGATACTTTTGCTATATATATTCACAATAACAATCTTTCTTATATTTTACGTTATACTGTTTTAGATGAATTTGGTGTAACGTGTTAATCGGAAAAACTTCTTCTCATGTGGCTTTTTTGAACAAACAAAAAGACCCTTTTTATTTCTTGTGATCTAAAAAAAGAACCTTTTTATTTTTATGATCTAATCTACTGGATAATTTGTTTTCCAAGTTCGGTAACAACCAAATGAAAGATTAAAACCAACTATCACCATTGAACCCAAAAAATAACAAGAATGACTAAATATATTAAATTGCATAACAACCAAACAGTTTCCCAAAAAAAATATTTATGTGTATTGTTTATTAATCTAGACTTGTTTCAATTCAAAACACTCTCTATTCATTTCGCTAAAATGATTGTTCTCGATTATTCGAAAGATTTCATTCGTTCTTTTAAATTAAAAAATTAATTTATTTACATCACAAAACAATATAAATAACTCTTGCTTTTAGAAAAATCAAACTATATCAATAATACTTGATAATAATTTTTTGTCTCTGAAATAATTATAATTAATTTTTTCATTATTTAATATATAACATCCAATCCTCTTGACGGCAATGACAATTCCAAACATGTACCCAAAACAAGGCAATATTTTAGAATTGCCATCTCAATTCCAAGATAATTATCGTCGTCGTCGTCGCCATCAATATTCCACGCCGTACTCGCCCTACAGCTCATCATCAATTCAAAACAATTTCCCTAGCCATGAAATAATCGAACGCATAATAAACTCAAACATCCCAACATATACACGAATTACGATCCAACGTATGTTAAGCATTGACATACACGAATTGATAAAGCCAGCCAACAAAAGTAGGAAAAAGATACCGAGAGCTGTAAACCCTTTCGTAATCTTTAGAAGGAATCTAAACGCGAAAAGGGCAAACGAAAGAGGGCCTGATGAATCTCCAAAATTACCACTTGTCTCTAATGAAGCAGGCATTCTCTGGAGAAATTGCTCTGAGTTTGAAAAACATCTTTATGAATCATTAGCAACTTGTGCTAAAGAGGTTCACAGAATCATGTACCCCGGATACTCTTATAAACCCAACAGAAAACCAAAAGGTCAAAATCAAAGTCGGAATTCAAATCCAAATCCAAATCAAAATCAAAATCCAAATCAAAATCAAAATCAAAATCAAAATCCAAATCAAAATCAAAATCAAAATCCAAATCAAAATCCAAATCAAAATCCAAATCAAAATCAAAATCAAAATCCATATCAAAATCCAAATCCAAATCCATATCAAAATCCAAATCCAAATCCAAATCCAAATCAAAATCAAAATCAAAATAAAAATCACCAAAAAGATAATGATGATAAATTTATTTATAAATTTTATAACAATAACATATATAAAAATAATAATACGAACCACCTGTGCTTCTACCACTACCATCAACCATTATCTCCGCCAATGTCTCCACCCCAAAAGATAGCAACACCACTTGAAATTACAATCCAAAATACGAGCACCTCCTATGATATGCTAATCATAAAACAATTCCACAACATATAATTAGATTCATTTATTATATTTATGTCTTTATATAAAAATTAAGTTAAATCTATGTTGTTGTGCTTTATATGTTGATGATATGGTAAAATTATTTTTTAAAAGAATTTTTTTATTCGTAATTAAAGGCTTATTATGTATGCTTTTTTGCAAAATTATAAATCTCAAGATTAAAATAAAATAAAAATAACACCTTGATCAAAATATCAAAATGATATTCTGGAAAATACTTGTATTAATGGTATCATAATAGTATATACAATGTTATTAAAATAATTTATATAGGTAATAGTATTTATTCTTTTAACCCAAATTTCTCAAATGTAAAGAACTGGAAGTTATGTTTAGCTTTAGTTCCAATGAACACAGTAAATCCAAAGAGCTTTATAAAATCATCTAAATCAAACTAATGATCCTAAAAATTTTAATTGGATAAAAATCCTGATTCAACCTTCTTATATTAATCCATCCCAAGTTAAAAGAACATTTAAAAGAGCATTTTTCAATAATTAATAATTTTTATTTATGGGAAAAAATAGAAAAGATGATTTTTGAATATTTAACTATTTATTTAATCATCACTAAATACAGATGGTAAATATGTTCCTTGCTAAGGTTTTCACTACACATAATTGAGATATCACTAATTTTTTTACATACAGTATATTAAATAATAATGATAATAATAATAATAAAAGACCAAAATCACCATTTATGCAACAGCAATAAAAACAAACATATAAAGAACCAACCATGGAAAAAGTGAATCTAAAGATAAAAAAGAACATCCATTAAAAAGATATTGTTATGATGATGTATTTCTATGCTATTAAAAACAGCATTACTTTTTCGCTTCAAAATTGAGATTATTTTTCAATATTGCTTTAAGACTTGATAGGATGACAGAGAATGTATAAAATATTCTAAACTTTCATATGGTCATTACTTTACGGTTAACAAGTTTTAGTGAAATTCACAAAAAATGAATTTATAAAATTTCAATTAAAAAGGCCAAAATATCTATTATTTATGAAAGTAAGTGCATATTTTTGAAAAAAAAAAACATATTACTATCAATGGCTTCTTCAATGCTTTATATTATAAAAGGATTATAAATAACAATATTTATTTCGTAACAATGAGCGGCAGACATAAGGTTTTTGAATAATATAATAGATTATCTCATTCATTCATTCACTCATTCATTCATTTTTATCAATTATTTATAACATATTAACTGTGGAAGTATGATTGATTATATATACGATTCTTTTTTTTTCAATTTATTATTAAAAGGTACGTAAATTATAAACCCGAATTTATCTATTACTATTACTATGGTTAAACAAGACCCGGGTCCTGGTTAAACATAATGCGTGTACTGCGCCACATATTCTGAAATCTAGGGTTGCTAAGTAGCAAAGTCAAAAAATTTGTAAAAACATAAATATATCAACACCGTGTTATTATTATTCAATGTTCTGTGTAATATTGGAAGTTGACCATTTAATAGTGACAATTTACTAAATTTCAAACTTGCTTCTATCATGTATCATGAATTAAACATTTAGCCGATATCTCTGCAACAACGAATTAAACATCTAGCCGATATCTCTGCAACAACAATACACTACAGTGCGTGTCACAGTAATGCATCCAAAATAATTGGTCTTTAAAATTGACATGAGCTAAATTTTCATGTAACTTTTGAATGGAATTTTTAAATAAGTTCAGTGCAACAGGAGTCATGTCTTGAATCTTGTATTATCAGTCAGTCGCAGGACATTGCAGATCTACATGGAGTCAATTGTCACTCGTTAATACTAACACATAATTTTATATGAAAATGGATCATAAAAAATAAATAAAAATATGAAAAAACTTTATTTTTGCCAGGGTAAACAAATACCACTAAGCGATAATCTTGAAGTTGGACTGTCAGTTTTATAAGTTCTGTAATAATAAATTAAACAATTGGATAACATGCACAATTTTAATCTTTGGACTCAATGTTTTTACACAATAATAATAAATTCAATAATTAAGTTCTAATTTCCAAGCTTTAAATATTTTAGTTTTTTAAATTACATAATTTGTTTATGGAAAAGTATTAACTTCAAATTTTTTGCTTTTTAAGTGAAT